AGGAGCTACAACACATTTTATGAACCGATAGAAAAATATTTCTCTATGTCACACAGATTTTACAAGGCAGTGCATCTAAGGCTGAGTGTCTCACTTTAATGTTTGTCAGTGTGCTCTTTAATTTTTATCTAATTCCCAAAATATCAGGAAGAATATGAGCTATCATGCTGACAAGGATATTTTTGAAGAGCTGGGATTTGGAATGTCCTTCCCCATCCTGAAATGTTCTGTGCATCTGAAGTCTCAAGTGCTGTCTAGTACTGCTATATGGCACAGTATGTTTTTTGGAATGTATATTTCAGATAGGCTGACAAATATTACTGATAGCAGAGACCTAAAGCTTAGGATAAGATAAAGCCATGTGTGTAAGGGATAAATTTCATGAAAGGAGAGCAAAGATTTATAGTCAGCTGTTTGTAAAAATGATGCCTTAGGAAGGAAAGGAAGGGATACTTGTCAAGATGGTGGACTGAACTAATGAGGGTAGGTCCTAGACACTGAAAAATTCAAAAACTCCAGGAATCATGTTTTAATATGTGTGATTAGGCTCAAAAGAAATGACAACGGAATCAATTCTAAGGCACAAATAAAAAGAGGGTAAAGCAGAATTGTTAGATCAAAATATTTTGATTTGTTTTAAAATGATGGCCATGCCATAGACCTTCACATTTAGCTAGAGGGAGATGAAACTGAGTATCTTGCACAAAATCATTACTGAGGAAATGCTAACTCTGCTTCTAAATGAGACTCAATTTTTACCCCAGTGTCTTGGATATGAAGTAAGGAAGCAGGAGGCTTATAAGGATATGACTATGCTTAAATTGCCAATAAGTTATAGAAACTACAAATCAAAAATTATTTTTTAAATGGTCTGAATTTAGACAATCCATATGGGTTACAAAACATAAAATGTTTTATAGGAAAGTTTGCATATGAGGTCTTTCTTTTTTTTATTTATTATTATTATACTTTAAGTTCTAGGGTACATGTGCATAACGTGCAGGTTTGTTACATATGTATACTTGTGCCATGTTGGTGTGCTGCACCCATCAACTCGTCATTTACATCAGGTATAACTCCCAATGCAATCCCTCCCCCCTCCCCCCTCCCCATGATAGGCCCCGGTGTGTGATGTTCCCCTTCCCGAGTCCAAGTGATCTCATTGTTTAGTTCCCACCTATGAGTGAGAACATGCGGTGTTTGGTTTTCTGTTCTTGTGATAGTTTGCTAAGAATGATGGTTTCCAGCTGCATCCATGTCCCTACAAAGGACACAAACTCATCCCTTTTTATGGCTTCATAGTATTCCATGGTGTATATGTGCCACATTTTCTTAATCCAATCTGTCACTGATGGACATTTGGGTTGATTCCAAGTCTTTGCTATTGTGAATAGTGCTGCAATAAACATACGTGTGCATGTGTCTTTATAGCAGCATGATTTATAATCCTTTGGGTATATACCCAGTAATGGGATGGCTGGGTCATATGGTACATCTAGAAAACAACTTCCATGGTATATAATAAAGAGCTGACAAATAACTAAAGATAATAGAGAACTGTGAAAGAGACTTTAAAATAAGCATATATAAAGTGATCACACTGAAAAATGAACTAGAACCTGAAAGGAAAAAAATACATTAAAAATGGGCATATTAAGAACTAGAAATTCTATATACATGAAAATATAGTCATTGAGTTAGACAAAATACTAACAAATAGACAAACCAAACTAGTTATGAGAATTATTTTAAGATGGAAAAAATGAACTGGAAGTAAGGTGGAAAACCTGAGGAAAGAAAAGCAAGTCTTTGAATTGAGGCTTGGCAACAGAGATAATCACATGTAATGTTCGTCTATTTGTATATTCTTTTTGTGGACTGTGTAGTCAATTTAGAACAGTTCTAAAATGTTTTTCTCCTGTGATTTTATTTTCCTTAATTATTTGCACCACTTCCAAAACTGTACGTTTGACAAATGTATGCATTGTTACTGTGGTCACCAAAATTGTAGGTGCATCAAGGAAAGTGAGCCTGTCTACCTTGAAATTGTTACTGTTGTCTTTAAAGAGGTATCATCATCTCTTTGAGGGTTCTCTCAAAGTGTTTGCTTTGAATGCAGTAACTCATCCCAGAGATAGAAACAGAGAATAAGAACATGTAACTCAAAACAGCATGTCTGGAGTGGCGTCAGACAAATCCTACAATTCCAATACATTTTATAAGATGATGACTTTAGAACAGTAGAATAGGGAAAGGGATTTTGGCTACAGTATGAGTCCCATTTTTAAAAAAGTTAGAGTTGTATGGAAGTTTAATGATGGAATGCTTATGTAAGCATGAGTTCCTATGGATATTTTATTTTTAGCATTTGACATAAACATTGAAGAATGTGTAAAATGTTGACAAAAAGAGATAAAAATAATCTTATGCAAAAAAATAAATGCCACAAGCAATGTCACATAATCTGACTTGGAAAGAGGGAACAGTGTTCTTTACTGGATACTGAAAGAAAAAATGGGGTGTTAAACTAGAAAAATGGAGGTGTAATGTGGAGATACTATAAGACAGTTTGAAATAAGGAGTGAATATTAGAAATTTAAGAAACAGATAAGAATTAAAAGTTGATCACGGAATACAGAATAAGGAAAACAGCCAGTTAGATCTACAGTTTGTAAAAATAAGGAGGACAAAAATTGTGGTAAAAAGGAATTTAAAAACAGACTCACTGATGAATTAGGAGAGAACAGATATTCAAGGTATGAGGGGTTATTGTCAAATGCTGAGATGTTTTATTGAAAAGGAGTGAAAGTGGGAAAGGAGTTTAGTGGAATGTATTAAAGCAAAGGGACATTATTGAAATTAATCTTTGGATGCCTATTGTTGATCTTTAATAGAGTGCTTTTTGAAGTGATAGTGGAATTTTCAGTTTTCAAAGTTAAAATGGTGTGCCAATTGTCATCTAAAAATACATTCCCCGAGCCTTTTTGGGAACATGGCTGCATCTAGCTGCTGTCGAGTGTAGAAAATGTCATTTTTAATGTATTCATGCCACTGTATTTTGAGTCTTCTTATATTGCAACCTAAACTTTATTCTAACTAAAGCAGATATTAGTATCACTAGAGGGTTGGTCCTGTGCAAGAAACTGAAAATACGTGACTTTAGAATAGTGCTCAGGCAGTATAGGCGGGTAAGGTTGGAAAGCTGGTGACCCTTGTTATGCCATTATAGTTGATAAATTTTCGTCTTTGAAAAGGTAACTAAGCCACATTTTGTTAAGCAAATCAGGTGACTATTGAGCCTATATTTTCGAGGAAATAATTACAAAGATCCATAATGTTAACTATATGTTGCCTGTTTCTTGTTGCTTTATGCAAATTACTACAATAAAGAGAACCTCAGATGAGAACTGACTTACTTTCAAAACAAAATGAAAGGCGACGTCCAAAAATGTGGGGCTTTGCAGGGTGGCAATATCCAAATCATCTTTTTTTTTTTACTCCCCCCAAACCGAAAGACAAAAATGTCAGTCTAAAAATATATATTGATACTTCTGATTAAGATTTCTAATCCATAAAGGTATCTAAGTTTGTAGCAAACCTCAGATTTGGAGTATTGTCTTTCACTCCCATGTATTGTGTCAGAGACCTTCAAGTTGCCTCAATCAAAATAAGTTAGAAATAGGCACAGACGAGAAAATCACAAGTCAGGCTTAGGAAGTGTGTCCATAAAACAACACTGTGATTTTTTTTTCCTGGCATATTAGTACTGAGGGGAAGCAAATAGGCCATGGGTCTAAAAATTTTTGAGAGAGCAATTACAAAGAAATCACAAGATTGACCTAAAAATTTTGATTGTTTATCTCTAAAACTATTCTCAGGCTCCCAGAACTGCACCTGCAAAAAGTAGTTTGTGTAAGTATGCAGCCTCCAAGGAGAATATAGATTCATTCTTCAGATGTAGCCACAGAAGCTAATGAACACAATGATGAACCTCCCAGAAGGCAGAGACATGTGCCATGGAAGACAGAGGAGGAGATCGTTTTTCTCACGGCTCAGAATCTGAGTCTACCCAATACTCAACTTTCTACAGGGTGCCTTTATTAGTTCTTCCCAAAAAGACATCATCATTATGTGTGAACTGACATGTTTCCCATTCTATTTTCTCAATGAATTCTTTTTAACTACAGTAATTTTGTTTCTGTTCCACTCTCATATATTATTTTCATCAGCAACTTCAGACCCAGGCAAGAAGGGGTGCTGCTTTGGACTCCGTATTTTGTCAAACTCAATTCGATCCTTCCCCAGCCTAACCCCAGTTTTCGAGGTGAGAATTGCATAGACCAAAGGGCAGTGATGCCTTTGTCTAGCTGAAGAATAGGCTCCACTTCTGGGCCATGCTTTGAGTGTTTAATAGTCCACAGGGCCCTGCTCAAATAGACCCTAATTGGCTTGCAGGTATTTTACAGACCTTCTACCCATGTCATCCTCCTGAAAGTTGCTGGCCTTAACTTAAACCCAAGAACGGGCTAAGGGCAGCAATGTAGTCTGACTTGCAGACTGGGGTGTCACCCGATTAAACATAAGAGAAGGGAGTGAAGAGAAGAGAGGGTCATGGTTACAAATTCAGAGGTAGGGTTATCTTTCCTGGTGTTTTCATATATTCTAGGATGTAAAAACAAGAATCTGAGGATTCTGAATTTATCAACATAAGTGAATAGAATGTATTATATTTAGCAGTCTAATTTGTTTGGTTTATATATTTTTAATTGTATTTATTTATTTATTTTTTGAGAAGCTGGATTGCAGTGGCACAACCTGGGCTCAGTGTAACTTCCATCTCCCAGGCTCAAGAGATCCTCCCACCTCAACGTCTCGAGTAGCTGGGACTACAGGAATGTGCCACCATGCCTGGCTAATTTTTTATTTTTTTGGTCGAGATGGGGTTTCACTATGTGGCTCAGGCTGGTCTCAAACTCCAGTACTCCAGGGATCCTCCTGCCTAGGCCTCCCAAAGTGCTGGGATTACAGGCGTGAGCCACTGCACCCAGGCTGTTTGTAATTCTTTAATATTGTCTGTCTTAGCCATATATCAAGTTGTTTATAAACAGCATAAATTTATTTCACACAGTTCTGTAAGTTGGAAATTCCACAATTAAGTTGTCAGCAGATTTGATGTCTAGGGAGGGCCCACTTTCCCATAATGACACCCTCTCACTCTGTCTTCACAGGGTGAAAGGGGCTAGCTAGCTTTTTGAGGTCTTTTTGTAAGGGCACTAATTCCTTTCACAGAGGCTCTGCCCTCCTCATCTAGTCACCTCCCAAAGGTCCCACCTCCTAATAGCATCACATTAAGGATTAGGTTTTAATGTATGATTTTTGGAGGGACACAAACATTCAAACCATTGCATAGGTATAGGATATGTAAGACTACATATGTAGTATTTTTCTTGCCCCATAAATATTGTCACATACCTGAATATGTCTGTATAAAGTGAGGTTGGATATAGAGGACAGATTATTTTTCTATTAGTTTATAAGTTGCCAGAATATAGGATCTGTTACAGAACCTAATAGAAGAGGGATGCCCATTAACCACAGATTCTGAGATTTGTGCTGGAAGAGGTAATAGGATAGGACCTTGGGCTTTGTCCTTTGGAGGAAGAATGAGTTCACTTTTTGGAAGCAGAGTGTGCACTGATAAATGGTTGCCATAGGATGGATTCTGGCAGCCTACCAGTTATTCCCTTCCAGTATTTTCCCCTCTCTTTTTCTGGGCATGTGGCTACAGAGCTGGGAACGATTTCTGTTATCGTCACACGTATCAGCCATGTGAGGCTCTGTAGTAAGTTCTCACCAATGGAATATGAACAAAGTAATGTGTTCATTAGGTTAAAAGGAGATTTCTTACTCTGGTCTTGCTCACTTTTCCCTTCCTGCAGACTGAAGTGTAGATGTGGCAGAGGTGCAGCATCAGTCATGCTGATGAAGACAACATCCATGGGATTGATGGAGGAAGAAAATGCACTCAATAAAAATTCACAGAGAAAAGCTGCCTTACGTGCGTGAGACAAACTTCACTCTTTAAGCGACTGTATTTTTCCCCCAGCAGTTGAGCCTTTAGTCTAAGAAAACTGCTTAGAAAAATATGGCCTTATTGTTACTCATTTAAAGTAGGCAAATGAGTTATTATGGGCAAATGAAGTTATTATGATAAGCACAAACTACTTGATTATCTTTCATTAGAGTAGCTATGGGACAGAATGTGTAGACAGAACTCAGTTATAATGTCATTTTTTTCCATATAACTCCTCTCATGCTTAGGAAGTAAGATATTAATTAGTATTCTAGGAAGAGTCAGATTTATGTAGTCATTTGGAACCTTATGAATATCTTCTTCAACTTCCAGAAAATAATATTACATATATATACACACAATAGTATATAGAAAATTTAGTATAGTGTCTAATATAGGGTTTATGTATAGCATACAGATTATATAGAGTATAGAAAGTATATGGCATATAGAGCATTTACAGTAATACTGTATATTACTCTTCATGTATTTGTTAATTTTAATATCTCTTTCAATTTTCACACATTCATAACATTTATGTTTTCTAGAAGTATTTTAAAGTTTCCATTTTTACAATTCACACAATAATAAAATTGCCCAGTTGTTTTAAAATTAGGTAGAAAATAGTAACTTATAAGAAACTACCTAGAAGCACATCATTAACTTTATGAATGTATAAATGAGTTTGTCATTTGCTAGAAGCCAATGAGATACATGCTTGGTGTCTAATTTGTCAAGCATTACTTTTTGAAAATATTAAGCAGAGACATCTTCTAAATCTGAGTCATAGACCAAGTCTCAGTCTCTCTTTATGTACATAAAATATATATATATAATCACACCCATACACACACACATGCACACTGTTAGGATCAGTTGGTTTATATGTTTTTAAGTCATGTATTTTTTAACTGAAATTCTGTCTAGATGTTCTATCCATTATTGAAAGTGGAGTATTCAAATCTCCATCTATTAATGTAGAACTATCTATTCTTACCTTCAAGTTTGTCAGTACTTGCTTCATATTATTTTAGGACTATGTTGTTTTGAGAATATATGTTTATAATTACATCTTCTTAATGAATTGACACTTTTTAAAATATACACCTCCCTCTTCCTCATATACCAGTTATAAATTTACTTTGATATTACCACCGTAGCTTTCTTTTTGGTTGATATTGGTATGGAATATCTTTTTCTATCCTTTAACTTTCGATCTGAGTCTTTAGATCTAATGTGAGTCTCTTGAAGTTGTGTGGTTTTTGGAATTCACTATTTTGCCTTTTGATTGAAGAGTTTGATACATTTCTATTTCAAGTAATTATTGATTTACAAAGGACTTCTGCCATTTTGCTGTTTTTTTCTATATAACTATATATACTTTGCTCTCATTTTCTCTGTTATTACCTTTTCTGTTTGCTTTTAGTTGAGTTTGCAAATAGGGCGCTACTTAATTCCTTTCCTTCATTTTTTTGTGTATTATTTTGTGGCTATTTTCTCTGTGCTTATTATAGGTATAATATTCAAGATCCTATATTTATCACAATGTACTTTGAATTAAAGTTAACATCCCCAGCATGCAAATACCCTACTCCTATGTAACTTCACTCCTTTTATGTTGTTTCTAAGTTACACATTTCTACATTTTATGCTCAGAATTATAATGATTTTTATATAATTATAGTTATTTTGATATTGTTTCTGCTAGAAATTATTTAAGAAAGAGTTATAAATAAAAAATACAGTAATATTGGCTTTTATGTTTAATTACACATTTTGATAATTTCAAGTATTCTACGGTTTTGTTCTCAAACTATATTTTCTGCTTGCTCAAATCTTCTGTCTTTTAAAATGTCTATTATAATTTTAGCTCCAGAATTTATGTTCTTTGTGGAATTTCTTTCTTTCTTACATTCTATTTTGCTTGTGCATCATTTTCATGATATCTTTTAGTTCTTTGTTTTTACTTTTATGTTTTTCTGTGAGGACAGTTATGTACCACATAATGATGTTTCAGTCAATGGGGAATCAACCACATTTATGATTGTCCTCCCATAGGATTATAATATTGTATTTTGACTGTATCTTTTCTATGTTTATACATGTTTAGATATACAATACTTATCACTGTGTTACAGTTGCCTACAATATTTAGTATAGTAACATTCAGTACAGGTTTCTAGCCTAGGAGCAATAGGCTACACCATATAGTCTAGATGTATAGTATGCTATAACCATCTAGCTTTGCGTGAATACAATCTGATGTTTGCACATTGACAAAATTGTCTAATAATGCATTTCTTAGGACATATTCCCATTGGTAAGCAACATATAACTGTATATTTAAAACCTTTTCTAGTAAATCCAATGTCTGGACTTCCTCAGGGACAGTTTCTGTCAATTTATTTTTGTTCTGTTACATAGGCCATATTTTCCTATTTGTCAGCCTTGTGATTTTTGTAGAAACCTGGATATTTGGATATTACTGTGTGGTAACTTGGAGATTCTCTCCTGTCCTCAAAGTTTGTTATTTTCTGGTTGAGACTATAGTAGACATCTGTTTAATTACTTTCTAATGTATTTTTGCAGACTGAATTTTATCTCGTGTGATAACTGACATGTCTGTTCTTTAGCTTGTGTTCAGCTATTGTATTGGCATTTTTTTTTTTTTGTTTTTATTACCAGGGTCTAAAACAAGCAAACAAAAAATGCCTCTCCCAATATTTGAGATTAGCTCTGTGCGATAAACACAGACGTTTAGCCAGACTTGCATTAAGTCTATTGATTGGCCTGAGATAAAAGCTTTGAGTCTTGTTGAGCATGTGTCTTGCCCTGGACATATATGTGGCTTTCTTAATTGCCTTGTATGCATGGATGCTTTTGAATGTCTTAAATTTTCAAAGACACTCTCCCCTAGCTGTTCCTCCTCAGCCTTAGGTAGTTTATTACATGTCTAGAACATAATATTTTGTCCAGGCATTTTTGATTTATTAGATCATATTATAGTTTTTTGTTTGTTTGAGACAGAGTTTCACTCTTGTTGCCCAGGCTGGAGTGCAATGGTGCCATCTTGGCTTACCACAACCTCCGCCTCCCAGGTTCATATGATTCTCCTGCCTCATCCTCCCAAGTAGCTGGGATTACAGGCATGCACCACCACACCTGGCTAATTTTGTGTTTTTAGTGGAGATGCAGTTTCTCCATGTTGGTCAGACTGGTCTCGAACTCCTGACCTCAGGTGATCCGCCCACCTCGGCCTCCCAAAGTGCTGGGATTACAGGAGTGAGCCACCATGCCTGGCCCATCTTGTGGTTATTTTGAATGATGCTCATTCTTTTTCCAGCCTGAATTCTTAATTAAGTGAAAGATTGCTGAGCACCTTGTCTCAATCCTTAAAGTAGTCTTCAAAGAATTTATAGCAGGCATGCATAATTATTTGCAAATGAGGTTTGTTCTACTCTCTTCAGTCCCAGGACCCGGGGTCCTACATTGGGAGCATAAGCTACCTTCAAGACTGTTACCATGCTGTGAAGGGGGTGGAGCAAGGGAAAGCAAAAATATCACAAATATTTTTATTTTTTATATCAGCTATCTTTTTCTTGAGTCAGCATTTGCTTTGTTGCTTTGTTGCAGCATTTCTTGCTGTAAACCTGGAACTGTTTTTTTAAAATTCTAATGAAGTTGTAACTGACTGGTTATGCTTATTTTTCAATGTTTTTGTGGAGAGATGATAGTTAAATCTGGCCATTCCATTTTGCTGAGGTCATTCTATCTCTAAATATGCCTCCCTAATCCTAATACAGGAGATTGCAAGAGGACAACTTGGCTCTAAAATCGATGCATGAACATGCCATTGGAATTGACCTCGCCAAAAGATGCCTCCCTAAATCCACAAGAACCTCCTTATTTGAACACAGGTAGGCACTTAGAATTTTGTGGTATATTTTTGACCCACAGGTTATTTAGAAGTGTTTGGTTTAATTTGAATATATTTGTGAATTTCCAGGGGCCTTTTGTTGTTGATGATTCTGATTTTATTCCATTTTGTTTGGAGTACATTCCTGATTGATCTCTACTGCTTTACATTTACTCATTCTGTTTAAGGCTTGGCATTTGATCTATTCTGGAAAATGTACCATGAGCACTTGGGAAGAATGTGTACTCTGTTGTTGAGTCAAGTGTTCAATGCATATTTATTAGGTCTTGTTGATTGTTAACTTTACTACTGCCTTGTTAGTCTTCTTCATAGTTGCTCTAACCGTTATTAAAAGAAGGACATTGAAGTCTCCAATTATTGTGGAAATGTCTTTTCTCCCCTGAGTTCTGTCAGTTTTGCTTAGTGTACTGTTATCGCTTTTTAGGTACATATATACTCACAATTCTAATGTATTTCTAATTAGTTGATTATTGTATGATTATCAAATATCCCTCTTTTTCTTTGGTAACTGTTTTGGTGTTACTTTATTTGATATTGATATAGCCACCACATTTCTTGTGTTGCCAACAAGAAATATTATATTCCATTATTTTACTTTCGATTTTTTGTATGTTTAAATCTAAAATGTGTTTTGTATAGAAAACATATAGTTGGAACTGTTTAAAAATTTAATTTGACAATTTCTGCCTTTTGGTTGGATTTTTAATTTGTTCATATTTAATATCATTGCAATTTTGCTATTTGTTTTTTTTGTATGTCTCATGTTATCTTTTTTACTGCTTTTGCATTGAGCATACATTTTCTATTGTAATGTTTAAATTTATTTAATACCTTACTCTTTTTTAAAAAACCATTTTCTTAGTGATTTCTCTAGGGTTTACTCTTTACAGATTAACAGAATCTACTTTTTATTAATACTAATGTAATCATCATGAGATATAGAAATGTTATTTCAGTATAGCTCTATACCTTCTTCCATTTTTGTTCTATTATTGTTTTATACATTACATTTATGTATGTAAAAAACCCAAATCTGCATTTTATTATTATTGCTGTACATGCATTCATCTTTAAAGAAGCTGAATAAAATAGGAGAATATATACTTTAAAATTTTCATATTAACTATTTTATCATTTCTGATTCTATTCATTAGCTTCTGTAGATTTAAGTTGATGCTATTGATTCAAGTTACAGTCTAGTACAATTTTGTTACATCCCATTTAAGTTTTCTCCTACCCACCTCTTTTATTCTATTATCTGATATATTTTTAAATGCTGTAAGTCTAATGATACAATTTCATGCATATTATTTTATACACTTGCTTTTAAAATCACTTATTAAGATAAAGGACAGGAAATATGTATATATATTTCACATATACAGAATATGTATTTCACATATACAGTATATATTTCACATATATACAGTATATATATTTCACATATATACAGAATACATATTTCATATATACAGAATATATTTCATATATACAGAATATGTATTTCATATATACAGTATATATAAGATATACAGTATATATATTATATATAGTATATATTATATACAGTATATATACTGTATTTTATAATTACATAAATACTTCAATCAGTTCTCTGTTTTTTTGTTTTTTGTTTTTAGATTTGGATTATCATACAAGGTTACTTGCTTTCAACCTGAATAACTTACTGTTATACATTGTAAAGCAATTTTCCAAGTAACACATTTGCTCAGTTATATTTGGGTAATGATTTTACCATTGTTTTTAATAGATACATTTGCTGAAAAACAATTCTTGGTTGACAGTGTTTGTGATTTCATAGCCTCTCTGCATTCTGGTTTCTTTATTTTTTATTTTTTTAATAAGTTGTCAACTGTTAGTGGAATCCCTTCAAAGGTAACAAGTCATTCGTTTTTTTCCAACTCCTTTAAAGATAGACCTCTTTGTCTTTTAAGAAACTTTTATAATATGTCTGTGTGTGAGTATCTTTGGATTTATCCTGCTTAGAGTTTATGGAGCTTCCTGGGTATATAGATTTTTTTTTCATCAAATTTCAAATGATTTCTGTCATTTAAAATTATTTTCTTTTGTTAGTTTCTCTTTTAGGTACTCACACTAGTACACTAGTGTCCTTAATGTTGTCCTACGTTTCCCTGAGCTCTGTTTATTTTTGTTAATTAATGAATCTTAATTTGCTCATTATTTCTCCTGGTTTTTATTGCATAATTTCTATACATCTTTAAGGTTTTTTAAATTATTATTATTTTCTTTACCAGCTCAAATCTTCTCTTAAGACACTCTAGTAAATTTTTAACTTGGATTGTATGTTTTCATTTCCAGATTTCAATTTGATTTTTAAAAAATAATTTATATCTTTCTTAATAGTCTGTGACATTGTCATTTTACTTCTGTAAGCATGAATTCTTCTAGTTTTTACAAATATTTTTAAGAGTCCATTAATGTCTTTGTCTATTAATTTTCATATGTTGGCTTTCTCAGGAGTCACTTCTAATTTTTTTTCCTGTTTATGTGGTAAACATTGCTGTTTACTTGCAAAGCTTATACCACTTGCTTAAAACTTGACATTATAAGTAATATATTCTAGACATTATGGATGCTCACCATCACTCCTTTGCCAGGCCTAGCTTTTGTTGTGGTTTACTTATGTGGTTGTTTAGTGGATGAGATGGACTAATTTTAATGTCCATGGGAACAGTAGCTATAATATCTCATATTTTTCTGATATTAGTAAATATTGTGGTTTTTTTTTGTCCTAGTCTGACTACTGGTTGATTGATGCTATTGATCATTTCAATAAACTAGCTTTTGGTTGTGTTGATTTTCTTTATTGTTTTTCAACTTTTGATTTCATTGATTTTTGCTTTTTGTTATTTTTTACTTCTTGTTTGCATTTTAAATTGGTATTTTCAGTGCCCTAATTTAGATTACCAAGTTTTACAAGTTTTTAATTTCGTAATTATGGAGTTAATATGACACACTGCCTTCTAAGCACCGATTTTTGTTGCATCACACAAACTTTAATGAGTTGTATTTTTATTTACATTCACTTCAAAAGTTTTAATTAAAAAATATTTTTTACCCATTTGTTACTTATGATTGAGTTGATTAATCTACAAATATATGTGGGTTTTCCACCTATACTTCTCTTATTGATTTTCAATTTAATAACCACTGTGGTGTAATAACATATTTTGAATGATTTTTTTTCTTTCAATTTTTAAAATAAAATTTATGGCCCAGAATGTGGTCTAATTTGGTGGATGTTTTATATGAGTCTGAGTAAAATGTGTATTTATTTGTTTTTTGTTGGATGGAAGTTTCCATAAATGTCATATACATTAGATGGACTTATAATGCCATTTATGTCAACTTCATCCTTCTTACAGCTATTTTGAAAACTACAACTATAATAGTGGATTTGTTTACTTATGTCTTACCTTATCTTAATTATGTGTTGTGTATTTTACCACTGTAGCTAGGTGTATACACATTTAGAATTACATCTTCTTGGAGAATTGACACTTTTATTATTATGTTGCAACTCTGTTTATCTCTAATTGTCTTGCTCTAAAGTCTGCTATTTCAAAATTAATGTAGTGACTCCAGCTTTCCTTTGTTCAGTTTTAGCATGGTAAATGTTTCTTCATTTCTTTATTTCAAAACTATCTGACCCTTCATATTAAAAAGTATTTTTACAAATAGACATATTATTAGGTAATTTTTTATTCATTATAATAATCTCTATTCTTTAGTTGCTGCATTTAGACTGTTCACATTTAAAGTTATAAATTATGTAGATGGATTAATAACAGTCATATTTATTATACTTTCTATACCTTTTCAGAGGCATATAGTTATGAATTCTTTGATTTTATTTGTGTGTTTTGTATAGCTTCGTTTTACTTTTTCCTTTAGTATATCAGCTACACATTTTAAAAAACATATATGTTGGTTTGCTCTAGTGTTTACAATATTTTTAACCAATCTAATTCAACTCTTAAGTAACACTACTTGTCTTTGTGTGTAGTTTATGTGTCTTATAGTGGAGAGTTCCAGGTTCCTTCCTCCTGTCTCCCATGATATTGCACTCATCCATGTTTTATCCATGTGCTATCATCACATGGATAATCACACATTTCAACTTAATACTTTTAAAAACAGTTATTGAGATCAATAAGAATAAGAAAATATATTTTCCTTCATCTTCATTTATTCTCTGATATATTTTTCTTCATGTGAAACCTTTTTTTCTGACTTACATCATTTCCTCATGCCTCATGTCTATGGACATATTTTACAAATCAAGTTTGCTAGAAAATTCCTTCCGTGTTTGCTTGTCTAAGAAATCATTGATTTCTTTTTCATTTTTGAAAGTTAGTTTAGCTGGACGTAGAATTTTGTATTCTAGTTTTCTTTTTGTTTTCTCCTTCTATTTTTCTCTTTTTTTTCTTTCAACTCTACATGTTTGCTCAGCTTTCTGCTGGCTTGTATTGTTTCTGACAAAACATCAGCACTAAAGCTTATCTTTATCCCTTTAAAGGTAAAGTATTCTCACCTTGTGCTAGTATCTTTCAAAATTTTATTTTTGTCTTTTTTTCTGAAGCTGGAATATGCTATGAATAGGAATAGTATTTTTTGATACATATTCTGCTTTGATTTCTCTGTGCTTCCTGGAACTGTGGTTTGGTGTCTGTCATCAATTTTGAAGAGGAGTTCTCACCCATGAGCGTTTTGCATATTTTTTTCTGCTTTGTTCTGTCTTCCCATTCTGGTGTTCACATTTGACATTATACACTTTTTAAAGGTTTGTTTCAGTTTTGATTGACACGTAGAATTGTGCGTATTTATGGGTACAATGTGATGTTTTGATATATGCTTACATTGTGTATTAATCAAATGAAGGTAAATAGAAAATTAAGTACTTCAAACTTTCTTTGTGGTGAGAACATTCTGAATGCT